GCTGTAACTTCTAAATCTTATTCGATAGTATTATGCGAGGACTTTGCATGCAGGACATATGTTCAGTATATTATGGCCAATTCTGCATAATTAGTAGTTTAGTTTACTACAAAATCCAAAATTTACCGGTAAAAGTCAAGCTGGAAACGGACGTTGAAACATTCTTGTTGTCATAGTACTTACGGTGAATTAAGTGGAGTCGATATTAGCCGTCTCAAGTTATTTGTGATAAATTCAATGCGCTACGTCGATATGTCCTCTACTGGTATAAAGCAAGAATTAGTCCTGTAACCTAACCTAACCAAACTTATTTCACAAGATTTTGATTAAAACGGGAACGGCTCAAAGGTTTCTTATGCTAAAAAACTCAAATATCTCAACGTGCTGAAGATTATACCGCTGCCTCAGACAATAATCCATGCCAAGTTTCATGAAGATATATTGTCAAATAAAAAGGTTTTCTATACAAGAACTTGAACTTTTGAACGATTAGTTTGTATGGCAGCTGTATCCTATAGTGATCCGATATTGGCGGTTGCGACAAATGACCAACTTCTTGCGGAGAAAAAGACGTGTACAAAACTTCAAAGCGATATCTCAAAAATCGTGGCGCTAGTTCGCGTGCATACGGATGACACTTCCTTCTGGCTTGTTAAAAGCTTCGTGGAAAACTTAATATACCCTGCTCAGGGTACAAATGTGTTGCAGATATGCAAACATTAATTCATTTCGAAGTGTTCCAGTTACCCAGAAATTATTTCTAACCAATGTCGCTGCCTGAAACATAACCCTAATTCTTGAGATGAATTATGCAGTTTCGTCAAAGAATGATTTGAGATAATTTTTCTCAATTCTTTTGCCTAAATAACTCATATATCCAACAATATCTATAATCTAATAATTTAACAAATATACAACCAAGCATCTTTTTTGTATGCACGTGGGAAAAGAGCGCTGAAATCTGATTTTTCTCTTGAATGATAACCGAGTTAAATTGTACTTCAGTAAGTTGGAGGAAGTTATGAGCGAAATCATGTGTGCACATTTTAAGTTCAATATCTGCTGAGGCATCAGAAAGGAAAACGAGGTTGAATTATTTCTTGGTATTAATTAGTTTGCTTCGTTTTTTCTATATTTTTTTTTCTTTTTTTTTTAGAAATTTAAGTTCAGGTTCTTTGAACTTGTAGAAGAGAAGAGAAGTAAAAATAAGCAAGCTCGCTCAATTTGAAAAAACTTGTACAGTTTGTCGTGCTTATTTGCAACAACAATTTTTTTTTTTTCAAACTTTTTCCTCAACTATAACATTAACTAATTGTTTCAATTTGGCTTCACGATAAGGTCCATTCTAAAATTTTGACAACAGTGGTGGTAACCGCCACTAAATGAACTGGTAATATTGTTTTTGAAGCCGCAAAGTGTAATGAAAATTGTATTACAATTTATTAAATACAAACAAAAAATATTTTAGCCACTAAAATTGAAAGAGCGACATATTATATATAGCTAAAAGAAGAAGAAAAGCAATCCTGTTATTATTATGCACGCAGCAATTTCAATTTAAAAAAAAAATTATAATTTTTTCCCCCAAAAACAAACGAAAATAATGTAAAATCCCTCAAAAATCACGTTTTCATGCAATTTTAAATGCCAAATAAACCAAAAATTGTGGAACTTAAATATTTTTGATATTTTATTTCACAACTTTATTATCATTTCAGCAAAAAAATCAAACAGACCTACCACCTTTATAAACAAATATGTAAATAAACCATGCATAACTGCATTTTGTTCCAAAAGTGTCTAAATCCATTTTACCTTACCCTTTTCTGTTTCGTCCTACGCTGTCAAATCGCATCAACTTTTTTCAACACAACTTTGACACAATTTTGTCCTTTTTTCCGCGCACACTTTTGCCTAATTCTGCTTAGTTTTATGCATCAATTCCTTCCGGTTTCCATTTTTAGACAGCCAAATGCTAAGGCTGCAAGCAAACAGAAAAAATTTATATTCAAATAATAATAACATTAATGCAGTTTGCAGAACGACAAAAAAAAAAGAGTTCAACCCTCGTTGGGACTGCATTATTCCGGGGATATATCCCATTAGCGAACGTGTTGAGCCAACAACAAAAAACATCCCTTGCAAACAGCAAAGTTTCAACAAGCAAAAAAAAAAGAAAATAATAATATAAAACTAAAATATCTTTCTCCTTCGTGTGCTGCCGTTGGCTGTGTTCACTTCAAATTGCACGCCGATCAAATTAGTGGCATGCAACAAACTGTTCTGTTCGAAAACACCGAACCGAGCAGTTGTAAAGGGCACATGCGCAAGGAACGCGCAAACGAAAGATGCATTGAGTGAAAAGGGAAAACAGAAAAATTGGCGGTAAAAAGGTGGCATGGAAAAATATTAATGAATACAAAAATATTAATAAATTCATAAGTATTTTGTAGTTATTTGTTTTTAATGTATGAACACGAATTTTTAGCAAAACAAATAATTAATTTTCGAGTGAAGAAGAGTTTTTTGAAATTTTAATAAAGTTTTTTATTTTTTTTTTTTAGGTTTTATATGAAATTTATGCGAGTTGGTAAACAGTTTTGAAAATCATTTAAAAAAATTGTAGCTTGAAAAAATTGTATTAATCAATTTTCTTAAAGCATTTTAACCAACAAGCTGCCATTGAAAGATGCAGAAGTTCTAAAAAGTCTTAAAAACATATGTTTTTATAAAAAATCTTTAATTTTTAGTTGTCTTTTTTTTTATAGCAATAAGAAACTCGATTATATCGAAGTAATCCTTTAAATGTCAATAATATATTTTTTTTAATAAAATGTTAATTTTGTAAGTCATTATTTATATTCTTTACGTTTCATTTGTATTTATGACAATATTATTCTTTAATAGCCGAAAGACAATTTACTTTGACAACAACAATACCAATAACAACCTTGTTGCATTTGACATGAACGTTGTTATGTTATTCGTAACACTGTTGGGGCAGCTGCCTCACTTCATGTAAATTTATGTAATTACCTATATGCATACATAAATTACTTAAATTAATGGGGTTTGAAGTTATAGGTTATGTACACATGTGCAGATATATGTACACACATAATTAACTATACATATTTGCAGGTTATAAGCTATCAGCATTCTACTGTACTATTGTATAACAGAAAATTATACTCTTTTTGTACAGAATTCATATCGCAGGTCCTTTTTTTAATTTCGGGGGTTAAAGTTTGGTATATAAGATTAATTATTGTTATACCCTGAACAGCGTGTATTAAAATTGCCACGTAGTTTGTAACACCCAGAAGAAAACGTGGGAGGCTCTATAAAGTATATTTATAAATGATCAGCGTGACGTTGAGTTGAGTTAGCGATGGCCGTCTGTGTGTAAATACGCGAACTAGTACTTCAATTTTTGAGCTAGCGCTATAGAATTTTGCACACGTCCTTTTCTCTCCAAGAAGCTGCTTATTTGCCGAAATCGTCTAAATCGAATAAGTATAGAATACAGCGGCCATACAAACTGAATGATCAAACTCCAGTTCTTGCATGAAAAACTTTTTAGTTGACAAGATATCTCCACGATATTTGGCATGAATTATTGTAAGAGACATAAAAAATCTATTTTCCTTATTAAGTAGCCTTAAGGGGTTACATGGGTTTCGTCGAGCAAAAAACGCCCTATTTTCAATAATTTTTTTATTGAAATTATTTTATATAAAAATGAAATATTTTATTCAAAACTCGGTAATTTCCGGCAGTCCCTGTGCTTCCGCGTTGACAGCAGAACTTCTGTTAGGATCATCAAAAGTAAAAAGAAAAAAATACGTGTTTGAACTAAGACTATTAACTAGGTATTGGATTGGACAAAAAAAATAAAGTGAAAGTTGGAAAAAACTAAGACCATTAATTAGGTATTAGACGGAGAAAAAACAAATAAAGTGAAATTTGTATTTTAAGCAGACGTTTTTACAAAAAAAAAATGCAAATTTTGGTGAAAATTGCTCGACGTTCTTTGTTTTTTAAAATTCTTCGTCAAGACCTTGTAAATTATAGCTTAAAGACCTGTGTAAAATTTCATTAAAATCGGTTGAGTAGTTCGCGATAAATCTTGACAATCGACTTTGAAAACACAGTTTCGAGAATAACGCGTTTAAAGTTTTAAGTGACTGTATAGCTGACCTCGAGCTGACCAAAACTATTACTGGCTTCATCTTGAGAATTTAGGACAATGTTCTAGAGATATTATAGAATTAAATAAGACAATAAAAAAAAAACTTTTTTTTGAAGCCGTGAAACCCATGTAACGCCTCAATTCGACTTGAAGGAGGTTTTGGTCAAAACGTTGCTAGTATGCGTTTTCCGCTGGATGTTGGATTTAGTTATACACATGTATAGTTGCTATAAGAAATGCGCTTGTGACGGGTATTAACACTTTTTTTTGTTTTGTTGGTTAAATTGTAAGGCTTTAAGTATAATAATAATAATTTGTTTTTTTCTTTTTGTGGTATTTAGTAACTTGCATTTGTTCTAAATATCTTTAACGCATCCATTCAAACTTTAACCCGTTGACGATGATGCTGGTTTATTTCGATTCGAAAGTTATTAATTTCGCATTGCTATTTTCGCATGCTGTTAAGACAGCTGCTGAGATTTTTATGACTTTATCACTTCAGCAAAAGACATTTGTGTTTTTTTTTTGATTAAAATTTTTTGTGACTATAAGGGTTAATGTTTTAAAAGACAGTTGCGTTTATTTTTTCACTATATTAAATTTATTATTATTATAATTATTATAACTATTATCAGTGTTCATATTATTTTTATTATTATATATAAAATTAAATATTTTTTCATTTGCTTTCAAATTATTTTTATATAAAACTTTTATTTTTATTTAATATTTTGTGATTTTGCATTTTATTATCTATAATATGTATTAATTCTAATCCTGAATGTGCTTTGTTCTTCTCTACTTTTAGAACGGATATTGAAAGCGACGTCACACATCCAACGCCTACTAACGTCTATTTACCTACTCAACCTTTGAAGGATAACTCGAATATTAGGATTATCAGAGTCAATTCGGAGTACACGCAGTCGGTGGATAGCACAACAGCTGCATTAAAACAACAGCAACAGCAACAACAACAAGCGAACACCACCACTACAACTACCACAAACAATAGTGTTCATACACACATAAGCAACAACAATAACAATAACAATAGCAACGTAAATTCTCACAAAAACAACGAACGCCCACTAAAGTGTCTGGAAACACTCGCACAAAAGGCGGGCATTACATTTGACGAGAAATACGATTTCGCCAGTCCACCATATCCGGATACGCATATTAGCAGCGCTAGCGGCAATCACCAACATCACAACAATAACAATAGCAATAACAACAACAACAACAACCACAGCCACAATACCAACGCAAGCTATAAGCACCCCTCCTTAGGTAGTAGTGGTGGCGTTTCGTCATCAACATCATCATCGGCTGCAACAGCAACAACATCTACATCAATTTCATCCTCTACATCGTCGACGTTTGTCAGCTCCTCAACATCGGTCGCTGTAAGCAATACAGCGCCGCAAAACAACATTACAACGCATAAAAACTTCACGCTGGAGAAATCACAGAGTCCAGCTCAACAGGTGGCGCCTTCGTCGGTGCCACTGCAAATCTCACCCGAACAATTGCAGCAGTTGCAACAATTGCAACTACAACATGGCTCACCATTCGCCACCATACAAGTGAAACAGGAATTTCCCACACACACTGCCACCACACATCAGCTGAGCGCCGCCGGCGCAGCTGGCGAACTGAAGCATGCCGGCCTATTGGATCCCACGCAAGCAAATCAATTGCAACAAATGCAAATGCAGTTGGCGGATCCAACGGCTGGCGCTCCAGGCAGTCCGGCTAATCAGCAAACACCAAGCAGCGCCGCTGCCGCTGTCGCCGCGATGCAACAACAACACTCGACCACCATAAGCACCATGTCGCCGATGCAGTTGACCGGTCAGGTGTTGGGCGATTGGGCGCAGGGGCGCACCGTGCAGTTGATGCCGCAACAGACGGCGCTCAATTCGGGTTTCATCTATCCGCAGCTCGTCTCCGGCAATTTGATACACTCCAATTTGGGTCAGCAGCCGATACAGGTGCTTTGCTTGTGAATTATTATGCCGAGCTTACTTGATTTTTCTAACATTTGACATTATTTCACTAGGTTATTGCCAGCAAGCCGTTTCAAGGTGGCACACCGCAAATGATTACCACCACCACACAGAATGCCAAGCAGATGATTGGCGGCAATGCCAGTTTCCCCAACACCTATGCGATCCCGTCCAGTCAATCACCGCAGACGCTACTCTTTACACCGGTGCTTGCGCAATCGCCACAACAACAGCAGAACCTTTTCAATTCCATGGTCGCCTCAGCGGCCAACGCGCAACAACAGCAGCAGCAACAACAACAGCAGCAGCAACAAGCACAAAGCGTCAAGGCCACAAGTGATGCGCAGAAAAGTCTACAGCAGAAGGTTGTGCAGAAGGTGACCACTACCACGAACACCGTGCAATCGGCGACTGGCACTGCCGGTGGCGTTGCACAGCAGCAGCAGCAACAGTCGACACAGCAGTGTGTGCAGGTGTCACAAGCGACCATGCCGGCGCAGATCATTAGCCCCTTGCAGGGCGCCACCGGCACACAGCAAATGCAAATCGGTCCTTGGGTGCCGTTCTGGCAGAATCCGATTATAATACGCGGCACACAGCCGGACGGCACGCAAAGCATGTTCATCCAGCAGCCAGCATCGCATCAAACCATACAGGCGCAACAGCAAAATCGTAAGTGAAGACACATTTTATGATATTTCCACGTTTCGATTGCTTGGTTACACACCACTTAATTGTTCATTTTCACTTTCATTTTCTCCCCACAGCGATCACCTTGCAGTGCAACGTCGCACAACCGGCCGCAAAGCCACGCCAACAAATCGAAGCGCTCGCGCCCAAGCAACAGCAAAGCCACCAGCAACAAGCCCAGCAGCAGCAACAACAAACGGCACAGGCCGTCGTCGCTGCACAACTGCAGCAACAAGCGATCACAGCTAGCCAATTGCAGCAACAAGTGGCACAACGTGTACCGCAAATACTGCCACAGAATGGCGCACAAATACGTCCGGCCAGTTCGGTGTCGACGCAAACAGCGCAGAATCAAAGTTTGCTGAAGAAAATGCGCACCAAGCAGCAGCCCGTGCGGCCGGCGCTGCCGACAATGAAGACTGAAAATGGTCAGCCGCAGCAGGTGAAAGCGCAAACGGTCGCCACAGCAGCGGGACTGCAGCAACAGGGCGCAACCATGCATCAGGTTGTAACGCCGGCGGGCAAGATGGTTGTGATGAGCACCGGACCCTCGATAACCATACAAAATGGCCAGGCCATACAGCAGACCACCACGACGGGGCATGTTGATAAGCAGCAGCAACAGCACCAACAACAACAGATTCAAATACAACAAATGCAAAAACAGCAGCAGCAACAACAACAAGCGCTCCTACAACAACATTTGCTGCAGCAGCAATTCGCATCCGCTATACAAATGCAACAGCAGCAGCAGCAGCAACAACAACAATTGCAACAACAACAGCAGCCACAACAAATTCAATTGCAAGTGGCACCGCAAACATTTATTACACAGCAGCAGCAGCAACAGGCGCAACAACAACAACAACAGCAGCAGCTGCAAACTCAGCTGTTGCAACAGCAATTGGTGCAACAACAACAACAGCAGCAGCAACAGCAACATCAACAGCAGCAGCAGCGTGAGCAGCAGCAGCAACAACAGCAAAATATAATACATCAAATAGTTGTACAACAACAACAGCCACAGCCAACGCAAGGTCAAGCGCATGCGCAACAGCAACAACAACAACAGACTCACCTGCCAACGCAAATCGCTGGCGTACCATTCTCGGTGTCCTCCTCAACACCTTCGAGCATTGCCTCATCTGCTGCTGCCGCATTGCAACAACACGCTGTTTATCAGTCGAAAGCTTCGACACTGCCGACCACTTCGGTGGTGACTATTACGAATCAGGCTGGCCCGCTGGTGACCAGCACAATTGGCATTAATCAGACTTCACAACTGCAGCAGCAGCAGCAGCAACAGCAACAACAACAACAGCAGCAGCAAAGTTTACTCGCCGCTTCGCTAGCTGCCTCGCAACAACAACAACAAGCGCAACAACATGCTCAGCAACAGGCGCAGCAGCAGGCACAGCAGCAGCAGCATCAACAACAACAACAACAACAAGCACAAGCTTTAGCACAACAGCAAGCGCAACAACAGCAGCAACAACAACAGCAGCAGCAAAATCAAATGGCGCCACCTGCCGCTCAGCCGCTGCCACAAGCCAGCATTGTATCCACACCCACACAAAGCCCACTGCTCAGCCTCACTTCTATGATGAATGCTTCCATGGGTGGTTTGCAGTCTTCACCGGTCACCTCAACAGCAACATCTGCAGCCACCATGGCATCACCGATAAATAGCGGCGCTGGCGGTGGCGTGACAGCTGTGTCATCACTACCTGGTACGCCTATTAAAACGCATTCGAACGAACAACAACAGCAACAACTGCAGCAACAACATCAATTACAGCAACAATACAAAAACGCGTTAGCGGCGCAGTCGCAAACACATATGGTGGTGGGCAGCATTGCCTCCGAGGCGAATCGCACAATGCAAGTCTCATCGGGCAACGCCGCGGCCAATAACAATCAAATGATTCACATGAATAATGTCAATGCAACGAATGCGTCTGCAGCGGCAGCGGCGTCGGCAGCGGAATTGAAAGAAGCCACCGCTAAAACGGCCATGGAGGCGTCGAAAGCAGCTACGCCTCAACAACAAACGGTTGAGCCAACATCGGCCAGTTCCACCACCACCAACAGCGCGACGCAACAGCAACAACAAACGCAAGCTAACAATGCTACGAGTGGTGGCAACTCTACAGCGGCAAGCACTGCCAATCAGTCGAACGCAGAAGCGGCTAAAACTGCAAATGCTATGGACACCACGCCAGCGCCAACGACGCCAACTACACCCACTACTACTGCTACATCGCCGACGAAAAACGTCGCGAATGTGACGTCGCTTACACAATCCACTACATCATCGCCGACCAAAGGTGAGTTATAAAAAAGTTTTGAGGTTAGAAATTTGTAGCTTCTTGCTGTCTTGCAATTCCTTAAATTTCCTTTAAGTTCTATGCAGAAAGTTGTTAATAACTCTCACTCCATCCAATTTATAGGTGCTCGCAATGACAACGCCAAAACAGCCATCACTGAGACGGAGAAGTCTGCTGCCGCCGCATCTTCCACAAATGACGATGGCAATACTCAAGCTGTTAAATCCAACAATGCAATCTCAATGTCTAAGAATATGTCTAGCATGGCAAACATTAAAGTGGAAAAGGATCTACCCAAAGCCATGATCAAGCCCAATGTGCTGACCCATGTCATCGAAGGTCTATTGATAAAGGAAGCCGACGAACCGTTCCCTGTGACACGACAGCGTTACACAGATAAGGAAACTGATGACGAGCCGCCCAGTGAGTATATTTACAAAAACAAAGACAAAACTACCTTTTTCGCAATGCACTAACCTCAAACTCTATAACATTTGCTTTTACAGAGAAAAAGATATCTTTGGATGAAGAGACACACAACGCGCTCAACCAAACTAATGGCGTTAAAGCGCTACCACCCGATATGGTTGCTTGCGAGCAATGCGGCAAACCCGAACACAAAACGAAACTGAAGAAGAAACGCTACTGTTCGCTGACATGCGCCCGCCAAGCAAAGGCATCGATGAACGAGCAACCAACAGAGGCGCCAACGCAAAGTAACACGAGCGTGACTACTGCTGGCAACCAGCATAACAACGCCGAACAAATGTTGTCTCACAACAATAAGAACGCCATCGAGATCTCCAGTATTACCAGCAACACAAATGAAGCGCCAACGCCAGAGAAAATGCAAACTGACCAAATTCCTTCGGCGCCGATTACAGGCTACAGCAATAATGTGGCCGCCAACAACAAACACGAGAATGCCGCACTCGTTGCGGCTGAGGCTCAGCATGCGGCAAATGTTGCTGCAGTCGCCAATGCCGTCGCGGTCGCCACAGCTACTGCTAACGCCGCTGCGACTGCCGCCAATACCGCTAACGCTGCAGCAGCGCAAGCGTCAGCCGCCACGCCGGCGGAACGACCCGCCATGGCCGATTGGAGCGTGGCTGAGGTATGCGAGTTTATACGCCATTTGCCCGGCTGCACGGACTACGTTGATGACTTCGAACAGCAGGAGATTGACGGTCAGGCGCTGATGTTGCTCAAGGAGAATCATTTGGTGAATGCGATGGGCATGAAATTGGGGCCGGCGCTGAAGATTGTCGCCAAGGTGGAGTCGATGAAGGAGCAAGCGCCAGCGCCGAATGCCGACAAAGAGTCGCAACAGTAGAGCCGGTGTTTGAAGTTTGTAAATACAATTTGTGGGGCGTTAATTTAAATGAAAATGTAGCATAAGCGACGACAACTATTTGTTAAGTAGGCTTTGTACATAAAGTTTAGTGGAAACTGAAAAGTGTGTTGAACTAAAGAAACAGCACTTACATATAAATGACTTAAATTTTAAAATTTTCTACTAAGGCAGCATAAATTGGTTCGTTTGTGTGGCGGCAAAGAAATTTGAATTATTTATACCGCATAAGTTGGGTTAACTGTTTTTTAGAATATGTATTTGAGCTATTTTGTTGAATCATACTTAATTATACGAAAGTACTGTGCTTATTTGCTTGGACACTACTGTTTTTATTATTACATAATTCTACTTTATTTTTGTTCCACTTGCTTTTAATCGAGAAATTAGTAAATTTATTGCTTAAGTTCTACATAAAATTAAATATAAGTATCCTTTAGTGTTAGCGCTTGATTTCAGCGCTGGAGTTTTGCATGCGCGAGGCACGCCCTTACACACATTGAGTTGTGGATATTTGAAAACTCAGAAACCTACATATGTAAACTCGAAGAGTATTTTTATTTTTATTACCTATTGCTATTGCTATTACATAATAACGACTATGTAATACTTAATGTTAGTTTGTAAGCGTGTACATTTAACTGAATACTAATATATAATATTGCTACTCAAGCATATTCGAAATAAATAAATGGCATTAACTGCAAATAAGTTTATGTGAATATTTCATAAAAGAATTCAAGCATTTTTTCTTGCAATTAGCAAAATTCAAAGTAATTGTCTTCTAAAAAATGAAGAAAGTTTCGAAGATCAGCAGAGTGGTGACACTACTGAAACGTGTTAAAGAGAAAACGAATAAACTCTTCGCCTAATAACCAGCCTACATTTCGACTATGACGCTTGCATTTCAAGAACAGTAAGCTATTTGAAAGAGTCAATAATCAGCGGACGAGTTTTGAGGTAAAATTTCGACATAACATAAGCTTTTATGTATGGTTATATATAAGTAAAATAAAAATGTACATTTACAGAATTTGGTGTAGTTTAATAATCGACGATAATTTTTAAAAACTTTGAAATCTAAAAATCAAAACGAAATTATATATATATTATAGATGGCGGTTACCCAAAAAAATCGCTCTATGTGAAAAAAATTACACTTCAGATTGGCTTAAAAAATCGTAATTATTATCAAAAATCCATTCGATCATTACGTTACAAATAAATTTAAGAAGATCGTGTGAATATTTTATATCGATCGTTACAGCTAATTCGGCGAAATTTTCCTCTCTGAAACAGCGTTTTGAGAAAAGGTGTCCAAAGTTTTGGAAGCTAATTACACTAAGTTAAGGGGCAGACCTAGTGTGGCAGTCTAAAAAAATGTCGATTTTTGTGAATTTAAGAATAAAACTATATCGATTCAAAATCCAAATTGACAAAATGCGGCATTTTTAAAGTTGAATTTCACCCCAAATTTTTTTGGTCATATCAGAAAACCGATTTAGTCATTGTATGTTGAATTATTGTATATACAGAACAGTCAGAAAAGTATGTATAAAATCCTAAAGTAAATATATACCCGTCAGACCTTTCTTACTTCTTTACTTCCAAAGGATAGAATCTAAGAACTTTGTAAAGCGAAAAAAATCGATGGCATCTCTGACAATCGGCACTTCCTCACTCCTTATTAAGTAGTATGGCCAATGCATGGAGCGACAACAAAGTCCTCAAATCGTTATCAATCAGCGGTTGGGGGAGAAGTACAAGTACCAAGTACAAATCAATTGCTCAACAATTCTAGTCTTTCATAACCAATTTGACTAGAAGTTCCAGACCAGCTTGAAAACCGCAAAGAGAACAATAACAGGATGTTTTGAAGGTAACTATTTCGAATCCCGGGAATATCTAGAAGTACCACCCGAAATACCAAAAATTGTGTTCTGAGGCTTGATCTTTGTCACTTAGTTACTTTACACATGCACTCGTAATGACTCCCTATGTTCCAATCCCAGCAAATTTATTTATCCATGACGAATTCTAATTCTTACCACTCTACAGAGACACAGCACTACATACACTAAAAGCAACGATTCAATATTCATTCTAAAACTATCTGACGAATGTTTAGTACTGCTGCACGCTAGAACAGAAATATATTCGCTGGTATATTGTGGGATCTACGAAAAGGACCCTGATGCCAAGCTTCTAGCTGTACTGACTTATGGCAGCAGCAATATTGAAAAAAAAAATTATTGGACCAAATTGGAAGGCCCGGACCTGAGAAAAAACATATCATTTTGCTGCCATGAGTCACCACTTTTGCTCCCATTCTATTGATAATAAGCAGCATTAAAAAATCAAAAACAAAAAAACTTTGCAAAAATATTCCTTTGATCCTCAATTTGTAGACGCAGGCTCAAGGCCCTAGGCTCCACTTATGTGAACAGGGATCACATTGCCTCAATAGCACCCAGCAAGTTGTTGGAGTTTTTCAAGGTGCTGGGACTTTGGGAAAGCATGTGATAGAGGAGAGGGCACAATAGACCCTGGGTCACAGTGCAAACCTCATATTCATTATATTCTATTCTATTCTAACGATCGGTCCACATTCTACTGTAGTCTGAACACACTGAGTGAAATTATATGCGCCCCGTCAATATAACAGGCTGAAGTTAGACATTTCTTAAATGCTGTGCATTATTCTAATACCCTTAACATCATTAAGTTTGCCTCACAGTTTGACCGCCCAAATGAAAATATTGGAGACCATATTAAGTAAATATAATATATAAATAATCAACGTGACTAGTGAAATTTATTTAGCATGTCCGTTTGTCCGTCTGTTTGTATATATGCGAATTTGTCACTCAGTTTTTGAAATACCGCCGATATCGGTCCCCTATAACATATAGCTGCAATATAAACTGAACGATCAAAATCAAATCCTTGTATGGAAAACTTTTTTATTTGTCAAGATATCTACAAGAAATTTGAATGGATTATTGTTTAAGGAAACGATACAATCTTCGTTCAGATCGGATAACTATAGCATATAGCTGCCGACTAACCGATTATTGTGCAAGGAAACGAAGATCTTTTTCCTTATTAAGTAACCTTAATTCAACTTGAATATTGTATATAGTAAAGAAAAGTGACTGGGAGGACCTTCCAACACGATTGCCGTTATACATACCTTTAGTTGGTTTTAGAAATGTACCTGTGAAGGGTATTAAAGCTTCGGTGCAGCCGAAGTTAGCGTTTTTTTCTAGTTTCATATAGGTATATCGGGTTTTCCAATTGGAATGATATGATATCTAAGTGTCGTTTCGATCATTTTTTATATGTCATGAACCGTATTTTTTTAATTAGAGCTTGCATCCGTGTAAAAATTTTCTCACTCAAGAATTGAAGCCATTCGACCACCATAAACGTAGTGAATTTGTTGACTTTGCCTGGGAACAACTTAAAAAACGATAAAGTTTTTTTTAAGAAAATCGTCTTTTCCGATGAGTCTCACTTTCATCGGAGTGGTGCGGTAAATAAACAAAACTGTCGATTCTGATACAAAGAAAATCAACAAATTATTCATGAGCAACCATTACATTCACCTAAATTGACAGTTTGCTGTTGCTTTTGGTCTGGTGGAATCATGGGTCGGTCCGTACTTCTATCGAAGTGAAGCTGGTGGCACCGTTACCGTCAATGAAAAGTGGTATAGATCGATGATAATCAACTTTTAATGGCCGCAGTTGGAAGTAGTTGATCTTCATCTGGTTTCAACAAGACGGGTCTACGTGCCACACAGCACGTGCAACAACCGAATTATTGCGAGAAAAGTTTGGAGATTCGTTAATTTCAAGAAATTGTGTCACTGAATATCATCTAAGGAGTTGTGAATTAACACCATTCGACTACTTCTTGTGGCGTTATTTGAATTCATTGGTCTTTATCAATAAACCAGACTCTCACCAAGCTTTAGAAATCAATATTGAACGTGCTATTCATGACATACGACTTAATTTAATGGAAAAAATACTTCAAAATTGAGTTCATCGAATTCGTTCCTGCAAAAGCAGTCGTGGAGGCCATTTGAATGATGTTATATTCAGTACTTAATTGCATCGATTGTACTGCATATTAAATTAGTGTTTGTTTTTTGTTTTTAAATCATAGCACTTTTATTGGAAAACCCTTTACATATATTATACATATATTTTGTATGAATATACTTACTCTTGTCTAAAAATTTTGGTAAGACAATTTTAGTTTTAAATATGTATTTAATTATTTATTAGTTTTTCTTTGTATTTTGTTGCTCTGAGACTATAGTACATAGTATATAGTTCTTAAATTTGGGGAAAATTTTGTTTTTGTTATCTGTACGGTTAAGAAACATACATATTCTGATGTATGTATGTATATTTTCTGTACTTAGTGTATTGTAATGTACATACGGGTGTCTTTAGGTGTCCATTATAATTATATAACAAGCGTAATCGAAATTTAGCTTATATAATATTAACAGTTTTATTTTTTATTAACAAACTCGCTTCATTGGCATTTACGTTTTTTAACAAAAACTATAAAAGAGAATTGTGTGTATTTTTGCGTTGAAAAATTCAGTAAAGTGTTATTATAAAAATTGTTGCATTGTTGTTGTTTCTTGTAATTTTCTTAAAGTTGCCATTTATTATTTTTGCAGAAAATGAAAGTGTTAAATTTATTTATAATTGCTTTTTAAGATTTTTATTGAAAAATTTAGTTAATTTTTTTTCTTGAAAATTTTTATTCATTTTTATTATTATATGTATTATACTTAATTTGTAAATGAATGGACATGCGCTGTATTTTGAATATTGAGAATTTGCTCAAGCACTATTTTGATTTATTTCACTTCTTTAAGTTTTATTTCAATAACGATTTAATTATATTTTGTATTAAAAAGATCTGTCTATTTTCTATTTTTCATTAAAAATTTTATATTCGTAATTTATATTCAAATTGACAAAATTTTGTTAATTTATTCATTATTTTCGTTTTATGAAGTTAAATCTTGCACACTTTGAAGTTATGACATCTGTATATGGTTTAATTGTTTCAATTAATTTTTTCTTGATAAATTTGTTAAGCCTTCCATTATCCTTTGGTTTTAGCTAGTATAATTTTTTTAGTAAAAGCGATTTTTCAAGAATTCGGCTTAATTGTGTTATTATTTAATGGTAAAAAAAATTTATATAATAACGAGTGTTTAATAAAGGTAATAATAGCAGCCGGACGCAAGGTAGTCTAATTCACTTCCTTTGTCATTCATCAGTTCAAATTTCGACGACCAAAGTATTAGGTGACACTGCAAAAGTTTTCGCACATTTCTAACACGAAAATGAGACGTTAGGCAGCCATAACCGTTAAATAACCGTTCAAAACAATATAAATCAGTCAATCGGAGAAGGAAACAAGCTGTTTTCGATACACATACTTGCCTTAAGTAATTAGGCAGCTAGGTTTAAAAAAGAAAATATAAATTTGGTCTATATTGAAAGTCCATCTCCAAGTTGTCAGTGGTAAGATCAACTGCAGTTAAAACTACTTGTAGAGCTGTTTTGTGATTATAATATTTGTTTTAATCCCCATTTGCAGTCAACAAATTTGTGTGTGATTTTAGCCATATAAAAAAAATTTCAAAAGTTAAAAAATATCTGATGAAAAGTATTTAGTCTGAAAAAATGCCGCCAGTCAAGCATTTTAATTTAATTTAATAATTTTTTTTTTGTTTCTGCACCGTTTGTAAATCATTTTTATATATGTATTTATATGAATCATCAGAGAGGCATTTAGGGTAATGTGTTCTGAGAGAATCTTTGGCAGGATGAAAAAAATTTTGAATTATAAAATCCTTAAATTATGATTTGTTTAAATTGGAAATAATTTTATGTTTTAGGAAAGATAAAGAAAGACAATCGAACTGCCTTTAACCACTAAATAAAGGAGGGATTAGTGTTATTAGAAGTTCCAAATCAATATTTTAATACTTTGAAATTGTTTAATTCAATTGGAAAGCTTCAATCATATAAATAAACCTAATAAATACTTGAATTTAATTTTATATATATAATGTATATTTTAAGCTTTTATATATATTATATTTTAGCTCAATTTATATTCTATTTAAGGGATAAATTATAATCCAAATCCTGTTTTCTAGTTAAGCAAGTGCAAAATGAGTGCTTAAATCAAAACTAATTTCCTGGACGTTTCAATATTGTTTGTTGTTTATTAATTGAGAACTAGTTTTAAATTTTATTCAAGGTTAGAAATCTGTCATATATTTTAACCCAACTTGCTGAATTCCTACAAATAATCGAATTTATTTTTTTGCAAGCATTTTGTAATTTTAGCGAGTGTTTTTTTGCCACTGGCTTATAACAGAACTGGTTGTAGCCATGTGTTATCTTTCATTTTTGCCTTTGTGACATACTTGTTACATATATACTATACTTAAATATATAATTTACTTTTTATATATTTATTCAATTGGTACATTGTTATTATTGATTTTCTTATTTTTATTGTTTTGTTTAATGTTTTTTTTTGTTTCTGGTATTTTATGATTTGTAATTTGGTAATTTTAAAGCAAATATTTCTCACAGCCTTCTCTTGATATTCTTTTGAAAAGAATCTGACTCTAACACATTCGGCGCAACCAACAAATTGGATCCAAACAATCACTCTTGCGCTTTTTAACGCACTTTTCAAAAACCTAAATTGCATTAATTAAACTTTACAGCAATAAATATGCATAAATATATGTGTACATCTGCTAATTTTGCATAATTGACGCAACAAAAATTTACTTAAGGCTAAAGCTTAATAATTATGATTTTGCTCTATGTAAATTTGCATTATTTAAATATATAAAAATATTTAAAGCTTTGCTATTATGTACATATGTATGTGTATATTAAATCTAATAAATATATTATTACGGCCAAAGATTATGCAGAATTTATTAAATGTAATAAATAATTTTTTTCTTGGCGAAGAAGTTAATTCTAAACTTTTGCTTTATTTTTAGCCTAGTGATCGAAACAAAAAGTATTTTAAAAGAAAATTTCGAGTTCGTTCGATATGGATGGCCACTCAAACACTCATTGTGTGAGCTTTTCTATTTCAAGCACAAAGCACCACATGAAAGCTTAACATATTTTCAAATCATTTATCAAATAAAAGTGAAAGCTTAAAAAAACAATTTTTCATGCTTTGAAATCTTTTTGTGCCAGCAAATTTTTGGGTTTCACATAAAAAAAGTGGAAACATTTTTTTCTATATTTGAAGTCATGTCAATTAATTAAAGTCAAAAAGTTTCTTCAGTAAAATAAAACTTCTTTCAGTGCCATATTAATCAAGATTTTAGAAAAAGGTAGTTTCTTATCGAATTGCCATGTAAATTATTTTGCTTTTAATTTATATATATTGTATATATATTTTATTTTTTATATATTTTTGCTATAATTTCAAAAACCATGTACGTTTTTCATTAATTAAATTATTTTGCAATATTACACATTTATCATTTATTTTCATGTCACATGTTGTTATTGTTATTTGTGACGTTTCAATAGTTTATTTACATTCAGTGTATGCCATATAATTATTTTTTAATAAGTGTCACTAAATTTCTGCTTAATATAAGAGACCACAGTTATGAGTTTTTTGTAATTTATTTACCTACGCAAAATTTTCCAATCCTATTTCTATTTAACGGTAATTAAAGTTTTTTATTTAAAAAGTGATTTATTAGAATCTTATTTTCTAAATGCTAAAGCTTTTGGACTCTTTTTTTAATTCATTGATATAGTTTTAATTAAGTTAGTTCAATTAGTTTTTTTGTTTTGAAATTGACTTATTTTGTCTACTATTAATTCGTCTGCTTTTATATTATTTGTTTAATATGGAAAATATTATGATATTTTCTTATTATTTTTTCTGTTTTTTCAAGAGAATATTTTATAATATATTTCTAAGGCAATATTCGTTTAATTATGAAGATTTGCTACCTTTAGTATTTAAAAATGCTTTTGCTTTAATTTAGGCAAACAATTTTTGCAATTTATTTTAAATATATATAAAAATATTATAATAATCCAAATACAAAATGAAAAATATTTATAAAAATAGAATAAATAAAAGTAAATAAATATCAAAATAAATACAGTGCTACCTGCTCCACAATTCGCCTTAATTGCTTTTGTAAAATACTTTTTTTTTTGCATTTCTAATCACCTACCCTAAACCAATGCATACACGCAGACCCATTTAGAACAAGCAGAACATAATTCTCGAAATAATGCTAAATGAAGTTAATTTTTTTTATATACAAGTATATAAAATTTTGACGCTAAATGGATAAAGATGAAATTAATTATCTCTTTCGGCACTTCGTCTTTATTCTTTTTTCAAAGTTAATCTCCGAAAACGAAATATTTGTCTTCGTATTACAAAGTCAGGGTTATTGGAAAACCCTATTGTTCAGTAAATAGTTAATAAGAAAAGTATGGACGAAAACTTCTTTTTCCTTATATTACAAACGTGTATAAAATTTTCGGTCAAATTATATGACAATGATTGCTATATGGTATCAAATTTGAATCTTCCAAAAAAATAAATAGTTTCTATTTCAAAAATGCTGGCCCAACTTTAATACATTATATGTCATATAAGCTTCACTGAAAAATTGTATCCACCATTCAAATAAGAGTAAAGCGTAGAATATTTCCATGCTTTACATTTTTTAGGAATTTACAAACTATAAATAATAATAATTTTTTAATAAGCTTAATTTCCAAATTCGAAGGCAATATTTCGATCTTGGAGGCTAACTTCGAAAAGCGGAGAAGTTTTTATTTTTTTAATGACTCAATCTCTCGAAAAAATTTGGGTTGGTTCAATACCAAGCCAGGTGTTGTATACTATAATTAAAAATTTAAGAAATTTTTTTAAAATTCTTATGAAGGTTTACACTGTTTTCATAGACTATCGTTAAGTTTATTGATATTTAAAAATTTATTGAAAAATTATAATTATTAATTGTCAATGAGAAATCAAGGGGTTTTCCGTGTATAAAAAAATGATAAGAAAAGACAAAATAATTAGAATAAAAAATATTGATGATAAGAGAACAATAAACGTTTTTATTAACGTATAACAGTAATGAATAATAAAAAAAAACTATATTAAACATTAAAAACCAAAAGTGTAAAAATAATGCATCAAAAAATCATTTCAAAAAATAGTTATAAAAACTGCGTTCGAAAAGTAGTAGGAATAAAATAGTTCGATATTAAAAAACTGTTTTATATTTATATACTAATATATTTATATTTTAACAATAAAAATATATAATATAAAAGGGTGAAAATATTTTTCGACTGTTGTTTTTTATATATTTTTATTATTATTACAGAATATATTTCTATTTGTATTAGATAGCTAGCATAGCTGCAAAGAAAAAAATTAAATTTAATACAAAAAAATAAAGTAAAATAAAATAAAAAATAATAATATAAAATAAAATAAGATAAAATAAATAAATTACATATTCTCAATTTTTTTTAAATGATCATATTTATTGGAAAAAATATATAAAAAATACAATAAAATAAAATAAAATTAAAAAAATAAAATAAAATAACATAAAATAAGTAAATAGCATCTTCTCAATTTTTTTTATTTACCATATTTATTGGAAATTTATACAATTCAGTTAATTCGTTTTATTTGCTTTTTATTGAGATTTATTACAATTATCATATAATTAAAACTAACAGTTTTCAAAGCCAGTACCTACATTCTATGTATGTAAACGCCCTCCCCTTCTTATAAATATAGTTTTTATTACTAAAATCGGATTTAATATTTATTTATTTATTGTATATATTTTCAAATGTTTTATTGAATTATATTATTATAATTACAATAGGTTATGTAAGTTTGCTTGTAAATATTGGTGTTTTTAATGCCTTAACAGCATTTACCTAAGAATTCAAAGCTACCAAATATGTACATTTTATGTACAAATATTTTTACATATATGAATATATGTATGTCTGTATATATGTATATACAAGTACAAGTAGATTTGTATTTTTTTTGTTATTATGCATGCATAAAAGTGCAATTTATCGATAAATTTTGTGTACTATGTACATTGTATATGTGTGTATGGTATATGTGAAAGTATGTACTATGCAATAAAGTATGAAAGTATGCAAAATTGCTGAATATGTTCATTTTGTTCAATCAATCTTTTATTTTCATCCAAATTTTATTCAAATTTCTTCACTAGCACCAATTAAAAATGTGTGTATCTCGTAAATGATATTCGTCATGTTGTTTTATATTATACATAAGTATGTACATACAATTGGTATTTGTATATAAATGATTTTGTTTTGGTTTCACTTGCAAGTCATTGAAGTAGATATGTTGTTCTAGACTACTAAGGAAATGAAAAGGTAGAAAAAAATCAAATTTTTGATGTCCGATAACTGAGAAAAACTGTTATTCTTATATTTTTTTATTGAAAAGGGTAAGAAATTTGTATTCCAGTATGGCTATAATAATTTTAAAAGGCCATAAATGCCTGAAAATTTAAATAGTTGACTATTGTTATTTTAGTTTTTATTCGGAATTTTTGAAATTTTTCTTATGCATTAATTTTATTTCTAATATTTTTTAAATTTATTTTTAATTTTTTATTAATAATAATTTTTTTTTTTAATTTTTTTCTTTCTGATTTGCGTATACTTTAACTAGCTGTTAATATTAGTATATTTATATGTATATATGTCAAGATTAGTTTGAAAATGAGAACCTGGCATATATTGTTCATTGGTCTATGTACACCTGCATCAGTTTTAGCTATAGTTAAATTATATAATTGCAATAAATTTCTAGATTTTCAAAATTATTATCAGATTTCATTAGAGATATATTTATTATTTTTTTAATTAATTTGTTTTTTTTCACATTACTTACATAAGTATGTACATATGTATCTATGTGTCATATGTTTTGAGGTGTTATTTAAATTTTGCCATTTTGAATTTTTTCACAAATTTGCATAGATGCTTTTTTTTATATAATTTTGGTATATTCCAAAATTATTTTACTTTTCATATTATTTTTATATTTTTATGTATATATATATTTTTTGAATATTTCAAATTTTTTTTCATTTTTTCATTTTATCTATATTAAATTTTGTATTTATTATTTTTTTATAGTTTTATATTTTATTTATTATTTTTTATTTCTTTTCAATCATTAAATTAATTTTTCATAATTTTTTCACTAAGATTGTTTTTGCTCTCTGCACTAAATTATTGTTATATTGAAGTATGTAAAAAAATGTGCTAAATCCAGATACATGCATATGTATGTATGGTATTTATGTATGTACATATATATATGCTAGCACGTACTACAGCATAGTAAATATGCGCGAATTTTCGCGCAAATATTTGTTACACCACCACCGACAGTGATTTCCTGCTCCACTACTCTACACACATACAGCGACAGACACACGAATAAGGCGCTTTCCGTTTCTACTTTGTTTCGCCACATTTTGCACTCAACTCCTTCCACGCTTCACCACCAGCCACCATCTGTGATTTCGCCTTTTGCTTGAAGTTATAAATTCAAAAAGTTATTTGTTATAACTGTAAACACTATGGTGGAGACGGCGAGCGGTGTGATGCGATGCATCGATGCAGTGCTATTGCCAGCCAATATTTCCGCCCGTTTTCGCATGCGTTCCTAAGCAAGAAAGAAACACAACAAAGTATAATATATACGAGTATAAGGCAGAAGGCAAAATTATATATGTATATAGTATAGTATGGTATATACAACTATATACACAACATATATTTATATAAGTGATGCTATGATGTATATATATATAATAATGGATAATATAAGTTCATAAAATATTACCTGATATTTATTATCCTCTCCGGGCGGATCCAAACATTCGAACTCACAACAACGTTCGCCTACACGGAAATTTTTACAGAACTGCGAATTAAAATTATAAGTAACTCTCATTATTAAACCGTTATATATATATGTATGTATGTAGTTATGTACTCACATAGGGTGGATCACAATAGATGGCCTTGCACCAAAGCGGTTCTGAGTGATAGCAGACACAAAGACTGCAGACACCTGGTCCGGGCACATACAGCATGCCATGATTAACGGAATTGCCCTGGAAGTCAATGCAGTCCTCTTCAAGGGCAGCTGTGGAGAGAAGCAATTATATTTTTAAATATTTTTTAATATTAATAATTTAGAAAATATATGGAATTATTTTTCAAAATGACTATGATTTGCAAAAATAAAATTTAACCTATTGAAAACTAAGCACAGAGTTCACTCCTTTCAAATCATCAGAGTAAGTGCTTTAAAATGAATATTTATCATCTTCACCTACTAAAAAAGCGATTAGATCTCTAAATTTTCAAAACAACACTAAAGTCTCTTTATCAGCAGAATGGGAACCAGTCGAAGGTCCGTTGTCTTCTTGGGGTTACCTGCTGGATGGCTGGGCTTCACACAAACTTGATGAACGCTAGCCAACAATTAACAGTTGCGCAGTCACAATGTTCTTCTGGCTCGAAGTAAATCGCAAGAGGATTAACAAGTGCCACGCCCGCATAAAATTTCGGCTTTTATTAAATTTCGCGTAAACTAGCGGTCCAAGGCGCTTTGTCGGCGCCTTCATTGAGGATCATCGAAAACTTGCTTCAGCCGAATCATCCATCCACCACTGTTAGTGACGATAACATCGAAAAAATTAGAGAAGCAGTGCTAGAAAATCATTGTGTCGTCATCAGAGTGATAGCAGAGGATCTCAACATATTTTAGTTAGTATTTTGGGTATGAAGGTTGGCAATGCTAGACTCGTACCAAAAAATCTGAATCGTTTGCAAATATATTGGCCCAAGAGCCTATTTTGATGGCTGTAATTTATATTAAAATAAGAAAAAATTTAGTTATTTTTTATCAGCCTGGGTAAATTTTGATCAGCTATGTATACTAGCATTAATACATGGTATACATTTGATTGCAAAATTTTTCGTTTCCAATTATTGTATATTCTGAAGCTCCTGGAGATTTTTTGTCCAAACCAGAAGTGAAATTTTCGTAGTACGAAATTTGAGGCACATAAACCGATATTTGCAGTAACGTAGTCTATTCGGGGACCTTGAGAAAACCTAGCTTATCAAGTTGAAACGAAACTTTATTCATTATGCGTCACTAACTTTGTGAACTGCTTCCACATTACATATTGAACTTATTGCTGTTATAATTTCTATCAACACAGAAAGCATCTAATAATAAATACGAGGGTCAACAAAGGTGAGATTCAGTTATCAAACATCAAACTGAATTGTGTACGATCCGGTTAAAATTTTTAGAAACTGCGCATGAATCTAAACTGAACTAGATTACAGTTACAATACGTCAAAAATAAATACGATTATCATCATATAAGGTCACTTACGTTACGTCTGATGGAATTATAACACACAATCTGTCAAATAACTGATGGGATGACGCTCTCTGTGCTTCTAAAGTTTAAGGTCAACAAAAATATTTACTTTTCTTTTGCAGACTTTGTTGTCAGTTATCTCTATCTGGGGAATGCTTTCGAATAATAGGCAATTTCTTGCTGCCATCAACAAACCGTTATGTTGCTTTGACAATAACAATTCGGCCAGCCACTGCACCATGGTGTATTGAGACAATTTCAAACAGCGAACAGGCAGCCGAAGCGGCGTTACACTGTACGAGTATCTACAAAGCAGCGGTGGGAGGGCGACACAACATGCTGTTAGGGGGAGTGAGGGGCGTGGACCACATCTGGTTAATAGTGTTGACAAAATGACAAACAAAATCAGCTAGCGAAAATTGGGTGAACGCGTTGAATGAGCAAAAAGTATCCTGAGAAGCGTTTTTTTTCCAATGCATAAACAAACACTAACACCACTACATATGTGGCACACACACACACACACTCACACACATTTTTGCGACTCAAAGCCATTATCTACACTTGTTTATGGGAGGCAAATGCATTTCCGATGCGAATTAGACGCCTTGCACGTGTTTGTTTTCGACTTCTGGGTGCAGTCAGGAGCAGGAAGTATGTGTCAAGCGGCAGACTTAACGCGCTCGTGTTCTCTCTTGGCGACCGCTCGTCTACATGCAAGAGACATTGCGCAAACGCGGCGAAAAACGAACTTTCGCTCTCGGCGGACGGCGACTCGAACTTGGTTTGGTTGCAACTTTTACAGTTTTACTCTGTTGTTTTTTGTTGTTTCCCGTTTCTTTTTTTTTGGCATGATGTTTGCCGACCAACCAATAAATAGCCGCATGCAGCCGAACAGATGTTCCGCATTCGCTTGCATCCAAGTGCTGATGTTGTTGGCGCAAATTAGGTGGGGGTAAGGTTTAATGTGAAATGTAAAGGCACAGCAGTGCACACCAAGTGTCTGCACCTCTTTTGGATGCTCACACCTTCCATTACATATGTACATATTTGCCCGCAGTGAAGGTGATGTTTTACGTAGTCACCCGTTGGCTTGTCTCAGCTTCGCCCAGTTATGCTGTTAATGCGCTTGTTGTTGTTGCGCCAGATTTTGCTGGTGTTGCCTGCATCACCTCTGCTGCTGTTGCCCTGTTCGTAGCCCAGTGTCGTCTAGTTGGTGCTTCTGTTGGCGTCTGCTGGTCGCTTGCACCTTCGGCCGCCCTCAGCGTCGCCAGCATGCCGCTTATTGTGTGCCAAATTGGAAGGCGCATAGGTCGCGGTTACTCGGTTAGTTAGTGCCGCAGTTGGTGCACGCGTCTTTCCACTTCTTCCACATTTAAGAATTTAATGGTTTGGTCAGACTTTATATTATAAATTGACGCGGAATTAATTTTCACTTTATTTTTGGTGAAGTCCTTGATCTTGTAATTTAAGATGTCATCAGTTGAATTTATGGGACTTTTAGCTTTACCCGCCGCAGTAGCTGAATACTGATAATGTCCTGCCAAATGGACAAAGAGACAAAACCAAAAACCGCCTCTGAGGAAATATTATCGAACATTTAGCATTGAAAAATTATGTTTGATTTTCACGTATACTAACCAGTTAAAGGCCTTGACGTTTTACCATTTCTATAAATTTTCTTATATGACCTCAATCGACCCTTAATGCAGTTTAAAATCTCATATACCTGCTTTCTTCATAAGGAGGACTCCTCAAACAATTGATTCCGTTGCAGTATCCTTATCAATATTATTAGGTGGGCACTACAACCGGGTGTCGGTCTTGGTCGACGGCGCCAGTTAGAGATTTTAAGTTTCGCCAGCTCTGCATCCACTTAATCGTTTCATCTAAGTTTGAGTCGTCCTTTTCTTTTTCGGTCACCAGGAAACCGAGGACCTCATACAACTCATTCCATCGAATGCGACACTCCTCCTTCGAAGAACTTTTTTATGCTTCTAATGCTTCTAAAGATATCTTAGCGCTATTCAACATCTTCCATGCTTTTGCACTATACATCAGCACGAGTATTATGAGTGCTTTATAGAGCGCTAATTTGGTTTGGCGAGAGAGGGCTCAACTTTTCAATTGCTTGCTGAGCCCATGATAGCATTATATGGCAAGAGTGATTCCTCGATTGATTTCGTGACTGACGTCGTTGTTGGTATTTATGCTGGATCCTAGATAGACGAAGTCTTTCACTATCTCGAAGTTATAACTGTCAACAGTAACGTGGTCTGCCAATCGTTGAGATCCTTTGTTTGATGACATGATTTGCTTCGTTTCATACTCGTTCACCACCACACCCATCTGCTTCGCTTTTTTTTCTAAGCTTAAGAACGGTCCTGTTGTTGTGTTCGACTATGTCGATATCGTAGGCCATTAAAAGTTGACTCTTGAAGAGGATAATGCCAGTACGGTTAAGGTTTGCAAAACAAATTAACTTCACAAGCATTAGATTAAGGAAATCGCAGGACAAGAGATCGCCTTGCTTTTATAGGGATTACAAAATCGGTAAAACAAGTTTTAATTCAATTCCTCTCAAACATTATATTTCAGAAGGCGTCTCGTATCACTAAAGTTTGTTTCAAAAAGTAGTACAAAAGCAGAACAGCGATATTGTTACTGAGCTCACTGACCGTGCAGTCGAACTTAGTAAGAGACTGCTTTACCTTACTTTCGATTACAACTAGTACTTTTATGGGCGCGGCTTATAGCGGAATTGTTGGAGATAATAAAGCTGATGAGTTTGCAGGGAAGCGCATTATCGTTTCGTTATTAACAGATTGGTACCAATTGGGGATTTCCATGCTCCTCTTACGGTGTACTCTTGGACAATTGGACCTCACGAAGTCGAGCAAATGCAGCTTGAACTTGTGGGGTCGATTCTTCCCATTATAATACTAAATATAAATTGAGTGAAAGACTAGTTTTATTAGAAGTCTTGTAAAGAAATATTAGAAAATATTAGTAAACCATTAGCAAAGCCTCACTTAACGTTTATCTAACCCTTCTAGTTATGTGTACTTAGTAAACAGACCCACGGTTGCTTTAGTATTATAAAGTTGGTGTAGACAAATCTAAATTTACAGAAAAGTTGGTGAGACCAGAATGATAAAAAATAACGTTTCTTTCTTAAAAAAAACACTTGGTTATACTGAGGCTTGCTCCTTAGAGTTAGAATTTTTGCTTCCACTGTCAAGTTGACTATTTCTCTAGTATTCAAAATTTAAAAATTGTTGTGTTCAAATTTGTGTCTCACTTAAATTTTAAACATTTTCACAACAATTCGGAAAATTCTTCTTTCTTTCTCTGCGACAACCGCTTGCCCTTCTCAACTGCTACAGAGTATTTAGAAACATACATATGTACGTAACTACTATGGGTGCTTGAGTAATTGTTTCTTCTCGCGGAAATTCAGAACAAAATACTACCATACTTGTACATATAAATATGTATGTGTGAAAGTGCCCGTGCATGGTAGCGCTAACTTGTGCCTCTATTTTGTTTCACTGTTTGGGTTACCTACTTTCTTCGTCTCATTCTTAAGGCTTTTGAATAATTAAAACCGCGTACTGTTTGTCAGTTGAGCGACAGCGTAGCGCAATTTTAGTAGCTTAACTCGGCACATATGAGAGCACTCACCTAGTCACTCGTACTCTCATGTACCGTTATAGATAAATATAAGCATACGCGCGTACGTATG